AACACCATCAGTGTTACAAGGGTGATGGGTTGGGTGGGGGAGGAGGAGGACAAGGAGAAGGAGGAAGAGAAGAAGGAGGTGGTGGAGGAGGAGAACTGTGGGGTCTTCGGTGGTCTCTAAGTTTGATGGTTTTCTTGCAGACGTTTCATGACCCAATTAAAAGGGAGGAGGGTTTGGAGAGGAGGAAGAAGAGGAGGCAAGAGACAGGGGGAGGGAGGGGGAGGGCAAGCAGGTGGGAGAGGGAGGGGTGGGGGAGGGTCGCTTTCTTCCAGACCTTCAGCCAAGCTGCAGAACACTGCGCATTATGCTCTGGCTGGCTGTGAACCAGGCTGTAGGCTTCCTTCCATTCCTCACTGTGGTTGCAGGAGCCTCCTTGGGCGGTTGCACTCCTCTTGTTTCCGCCACCTTGGGGATAAAATGCTGGGGAACGAAGCAAAGGCAGCCAAACCCAGAGGGAGGACGGAGGAAACCCAGCGACCCCCACACCCCGCCCCTCCCTCCTTCTGCCTGCCAGGCTTCCCCCCCCCACACACACACACCCTGGGATCTCCTGGTGGTCTCCCCTCCCAGCCCTGCTTCGCTTCCTGCCCAGCCAAGGGTGATCAGGCGGGGGAGGGAGGGAAGGGGGGGCTCCTACTTCGCCCAGTAGGAGCTGGGCTACACCCCCCTCCCCGGCTGAGGATGATGGGAGTTGTAGTCCCGGGACTCGGAGTTGGGGGGGGGGAATCTCACCTTCCCTCGCCAGACTCACCTCTCTCCGCCTCCTCCGGCGGCCCCACCGGCTGCGGCCCCGCTACTACGTCCCCCCCACCGCACAGCTGTCCCGAACCCGGAAGAGAGAGGGAGGAAGTAAACAGGAAAAAGGCGGAGCCCCCGCTGACAATAGAGCTCCCGTGGAGCGTCGCTTCCGCCAGCCGGAGGCGGGATTTCCGGCGCGCGTGAGCTAGGGAGGTTAGAGGGAGGGAGGGAGGGAGGTTAAGTAGGTAGATTAAAAGAGAGCGAGGGAGGGAGATGATAGGTAGGTAAGCAGATACAGAGCAGAATAGAAAGATAAGGAGCGATAAACGAGAGAGAGAGAGGTAGGTAGGTAGAGAGACAGAGAGAAAGAACAGAGATGATAGGTAGATAGGTAGAAAAGAGGTAGATTAGAGAGAGATAGGTAGGTAGGTAGATTAGATAGAGGGAGAGAGAGATGTTAGGTAAGTAGATACAGAAGAGGAAGATAGAGAGATAAACGAGAGATAGATAGGTGGAGACAGACAGACAGACAGACAGAAAGAACAGAGATGATAGGTAGATAGGTAGAAAAGAG